AACAGTGATAGCACTGTATAATCAAAACTTTGATATTAATTAAAGGTCGGATTTGAATAAAGCTATAAATGATAAGGAGGAAATAGAAAGTGAAATGGAACAATTGAAAATAAGGCACAGTACATTATCTCAGCATCTAGAAGAAAAAGAGAATAGTTGGAAGGATCAGCTAGAACAGTTGACATCAGATGCCTCATTAGCTGCAGGAGAACAAGCAGAGGCAGTCCGCCATCTTATGAGGCGTAACGAAGTTATGGCAGCTGCTTTTAAGGTGTGTATGCATTCGTATTGTGTGTTATTATGATATTTACAGTAAAAGTAAGTCGCTAAAACCTAATCTTATATGGACAATGCCAAACATAGGATGAAATGCAAACAATGAAAGAAAACCATGGTGCGGAAATCGAGAAGCTACAAATACAGTTAGATGAAGCAAATCAGAAGTTGTATAAACTACAACAACAACAAATACAACATCAGTTACAACAGTTACGATTAGATAATGAAAAAGTAGATGATAAAGGGGAAGTGGAGGTTTGTCGTAGCTTGCTTAAATGTCGCTTTTTCAAAACTGTGAATAATGTCTATTTTATTTGTTATTAATAGATAAATGATCGAATAGAATCTGAGCCGATTGCCATTCAAGTAAATAATTATCGAATTATCTCTCGGTAGCAAAATTTAATTTTTAACAATTTTTTATCCTTCGTAAGAATGCAATTACAAATAATGCGCCGTCTTTAGAGAAGATCCTTTCATTAACGGAAGATAGCAGTGGAGGTACCTCGTGTCATAGTTTATCTTTCAAACTTACTGCATTCGCACAATTTGTGTTTCTCATCCTTTGCATTGCAATGCAATATAACAAACTGATTCATTTCTTTAGAACATTCAAGTAGTTCATTGGCAACCACTGTAAATTCTCCAACGGATGAGAATATAGTTGAACAATTGAAAGCTACCAACCAGGCGCAACTCACAGTTCAAAAGCAAAAGATTGAACACTTAAGTCAAGTAAATCTATCTAGTTCTATCTATTATTTACCTCAATCATAATAGATTTCATTGAAATAATGCTTTTTTGCTTAGTTACTCAAAGATAGTGAGGATCACTGTTCTGTAATGACAGAACAAGCGAAAGTCTTAAAGGAAGAAATCAGAAGGTCTTGCACTTCTATACATATCATTATTTAGCCTTCCTAAAAATTGAAACGTTTTCATTTGCTGGGAAATCGTTTGCTTTACTTTGCGGCCATTGATTAATATAATTACGAAATGACTTTCTTCTATTAAAAATTTCGTTTAATGTTATTAAAACTTACTTTGTAATCGACAGGTTGGAAAGAAATCAAGCTAGAAGCCAGGAATTATCAAATCTGGAATACCTCAAGAATATCATTTTGAAGGTAATATTTCTATAACAACCTAATTTTTAGCCTCGTTTAGCACCCTGATCTACTAATACCTAAACCATGTATACGTCTACAATCTAGTTTGTTTTAGCTCAAGGAGATGAAAAAGAGCAGCTTATACCTGTTCTTACGACACTATTAAAACTTACACATGACGAAAAGAACGTTGTCACCGAAAAGATCAAAAGTAGGTTTGGAAATATAAGAGTTTTGGTTCTGTAGTCTCAATGCGAGAATTCAGCAACTTCTAACCTTTCTCTTTTGCAATTAGCTTTTTCTTCATATTACTTGAGTCTTAACTGATTTTTTTTGTAATGACAATTACTCCTATTTTTAATCCTACAGAAAATCGAAAGCTAGACAATTCGGCTGACTCTAACGTATCAAACATGGGATCATTTGGCTTTTTATCTCGTTGGAAATAAGATGTTATTTTTCACGCAGTGCTTATCTAATTATTAAGTAGGTCTTACTCCACAATAAAGCGCTCCTGATGAGAAATGTCGCTTTTGTACAGTATATTCCCAAAAGATTATTTAGTATCTAAAGTTAAAAATCTTCTATTGTTTTGTATAGTATTTATATATTACCTAAATTATATAACTTAGTATTACATAACATCTTGGTTATTTACTCAATTTGCTATAGCAAAATGTACAAAGTTTTTAACATTCAAAAATATTCGTAATTTGCATATTGCTCCGAAGAATTCATTTGGCATTTTACGGCATCCACATTGCCAAACCTTTAGATACCACTCATATAGCAATTACAATTTTCTTTTTACTTCAATTGTTTGTGCTTTTTATTTATGTTGACAAGAAATATCATAATATAATACTTTAACTTTAAAATGTAGCGCAGAAAAAATTTACGCTATAGGACATAATTGTGACAATGGAATAAGTGAAAGATCTCATTTTGTTGTATCAAATTTTGTTCCTCAAAATTATAACTATTGCTATTGCACTGCGGATTATTTTTATGAAATCAGCCTTGAGAATGAGCAAAAGTATACCTGAATACACAGAGAATTTTCTAAGATATATATGATGGCTTGTTATAGCCATGTGCTCCAACTTTTCATTAGTAATTTATATATCGAGCTATAATTGATTTACGTTTCTAAATGCTGGTGCATTTTAATGCTATTATATAATAATTTTACAGTAAAGTTCCACTAGCAGAGGATCTTTAGCAAGAAAGCAATCTGTTAGTTTAGCTGCCTGTCAGCGCTAATAAAGTACGAATGAAACAGCAAACATTGTCGATGATACTTTTTGTGAAAAATAATTCAGAATTGAAGTGTGATATTAATACAATTTGATTCGGATCGTATGCCTTTTTCAATTTACTTGTATTCTGCTGTTTATTTTATGGCTTTGACGTCGTTTCAAGATAAAAGGTATTAACTACGTCATACTTGTAGAATTATTTTATGCAAACTGAGTGATTTCGCTGGACTGTAATGTAATTCAGTTTCGGAGTTGTAAAACTCCGTTTATATTGAACGTGTAAACTCAGTATTATATCGTCAAGTCAGCCAAAAGAAAGAGTATCATGTTGTAGATTGATTTTCTATCATTTCAACTGCTAGACTAAATCTACGCGATTACATTCTGCTTAATTCTACCTGTATTAGGGAACAGAAAATCTGATAATTATATAATTATAATCATCCTACTTTGGTAGATATGATACTACGGTCTTAGATTTACCGCTAGATATAGCCTCCAGGCAAATGCAGTAAACGGCTTTCCTAAATTTTAGTACTACTGTAGTCTGTGAATGATTACCGTATACTTAGAGTCAGCACTGCTATTCGTTGTTAGCACATTGTTATCAAATCAAATGTATGCGTATGTTTGTTATAAGATACTACCTTGGTATGAAAACTGCGCAGAAAAAATTAATTTATGTAGCTTCTAGCAAATAATAGATCCATCAAATGTTTTAGTCAGCGGATTTTAACGAATTTATATATAAGGAACAATTAGCATCACAACGTATTCCAGATATTTAAAAATGAGATCGAAGATCAAAACAATAATAATATCCTAGTATCTTTGAAAATTCCAATCTAAGCCTTGATTATGTGCTGCTAGCAACAGCACATTGCATAACTGTCTCGGATAAGTATGATATAAGAGAAATGGAAAATTTTCTAGAATTGATACATATTTAAATTTCTTCATAAACAATAAGCAGCTGAAAATATCTGGACATCAAAGCTACTTACGTAAGCTCAGCTGTATTAGCGAATAAGCATTTAAATAATAATGAGTATCATATCAGATCTGATACTACCGCCTTAAAATCGTTATAACAACTAGGTAAAAATAGCAGAATAGCTTTCCGAAAATTCCTCCTAGTAGGTGAGTCATTACACCTACAGTAAAGTTAGCTTCCGCTATTCGCATGTTAATTACCAAATTAAAGTAATACTCAATTACAGTAATAAACTTCTATATTAACACGGAACCTAGGTATTTAAATTCATCTACGTGTATACAGAAATCTGGCATTAATTGACTAATTAAATATTTTAGATAGGCAGATTCAGCAAATTATAACCGTAAATTTTCATCACAACATATTCTGCATGATTTACTGACATAGTAGAATAAATATACCCTATATGCATTGAAACATCATCAAAGTTCACGCACTGCTGAATATACTTTGCATTACTGTCTATGACATTGGAATATGGCAAAATTTTTTAAACTGATGCATGATTAAGTTCATGAGAAGTGACATTAAGGTAATTTACAATATCAATAGTCTTTACATCAATAGAATTGTAAGCTCGGCTACGATAAAGCAGCTGCTATTCACGATGATCAAGTTAGTACTTAAGCAACAAGATTCTACGGTGCTTCAGTACAGAATATTCCTATTAAAATTTATCCATACAGTAATTCAGTAAACAATCAATTATATATAATCAGTTCGCAATTTAAGATGGTAGATTAAGCAACAATGTGAGTAGTTTTTACATCGCAAGGTGTTTAGTTTCACTGAAATAGTAGATTAAAATAATACTGAATCTATTGAAATACCAGAAACATCCGTGCATTAACAGTAATTTAGGAATAAAATCAAGTTGCATTGCTGTTTATAAGTATTGGAGAATGACAAATTTCTAGATGCATGGACGATTAATTGCATCAGGATAATATTATCACAGATTACAGTATCTATATATTAAGGCCACTATGAGCTCAGCTGTTGTGGCGAATACAATATTCAATAATAATGTATATTACGTTAGATCTAATATCTTTCGTCTTATGATCGCTTATAGAAATAACATCTAGGAAGATGGAGCAAAATAGATCTCCGAAATTTAGTATTAATCAGCATGTAAATGATTGGATTGCAACCAGAGTTTGCAGCCGCTATCCACGATGTTATGGCTCTTAATTCGTTACAAACGGGCCATTTTAAGGCATAAAGTACGTGAACAATTACAAATGGCGACCAACAAAGTAAAAATACGAGTACCATCAATAGGCAGACATAGAGTATTTTCGCTTCACGGTGAGAAATAATTTGACTCAATGATTGGCTATAAATTAGCGGAGTAATCGATTTGGTCGCTTTCCTAACGTTATGATAAACATGACTGTAGCAAATAACCATTATTACTAAAGGTAGAGCATAACCGGTAACAGCAAGAAATAATGTAAAACTTGGACTCGAATTATAATCGACTTTGCACGTTGTTTCATTTTGGAGATGGCCGTATTTCCCCCAACCGACTAGTGGTCCAACGCCAGTTGATAATGCAAATAGCCACATAAAAATGAGGATAGCCACTGTCCTCTTACTTTTGCGAACGGATCGGCGACGAAAACTCTGAATTGTTACATATCTAAATGATAAAAGACAAGCTATTAAGAGATTGAAATTGCAACCATTATGATCAAAGAGAATTTTAACTCTCAAGTCGGTTATCTGGAATTAGAAAATATTAACTTTCCGTAATTTTCAAAATCATACTCTTAAATCATTTCTCAGCCCTAGATTTCTCGATTTGTTCTACTAATTACTTATCTATCCGAAAAACAGTTATAACAAAAACTCTTCATCCTTCTATTTACTTAATGACTGTCATAATTCCGACGGCAACAAATTCTTGTTTACCAATACAGCTATTTTCCTGACAGATATTTACTTTTGCGTATATTAATTTATAGAATGTAAATGTTTATAATTACAACTACTTTAATTCACGATAGCATATCTTATAGTTATGTTACAAGGTATATTAATGATTAGTAGATTTTCATCGTCTTTTTCCCGGCTATCATAAATTGAATTTAGAGCGCAAAAGCAATAACTTCTTGTACATCAATCGATATAGATATTCATATATACTACGTATAGTATCTATTTACTTATACGAGTATTAATTTGTATGATGTAGAATTGTCTCAATTTCTTATAGCATAACTTTTAACTACGTCAATTATTTGAGATTTTTTTATTAACTTTCTCCCCTAACTATCATAAATTGAATTTAGTACCCAAAAACAACAAATTCTTGTAAGACAATCAATACAGATATATACTATGGCATTTAGTTACTTACGTATATATTAATTTATATAATGTATATATACATAACATCTAGAATTGTTTCACTTAATTGTAGGTTATTTTCTATTGATATATAACATAGGTTACGTAACATATATATATGTATAATAACACATTTTTTTGTTGTCGTGTTTACTATCATTAATTGAATTTGGAGTGCAAAGGAACAAATGATATTAACCTATAGAGTATACACATTTACGCCGATACCTAGAATTATTTTAGTTGATGATAGCTTATTTTAAGTCGAATATGTATAAGTCATCAGCTTTTTTCAGCATCCAGCCTATTATTTGCTAAAGAATGGAATAAATCAGCAGAAACAGTATAACTGAAGGTTTCTATAACTCCAAATAAGACAAAAAGCATGATAGAAAAAAAGCTATTGAACGGTTTCGGATCAATCCTAATGTCAAATTAGAATAGAAAAAGTCGTGGACGAGCGATCAACGCTACTAAATGCGAATAAATTCTATACCTCATTTTTGGGGAAGTAAAAGTAGACCAGAATTTATGTTGAAAAAAGATAAGCAGCTCAAAAGTTTCAAAATCATTCATAATATCAGACTAAGTAGAAGAAAGAATAGATTATGCAATCTACCATGTACCAAGAAATGCTATTACTCAAAGGCAAAAGTAAATTTAAAAGCCTTTAACGTCAAAGTAAACCAGAAATCAAATTGCAAAATAAGGAATTGTTCCATAGTTTAAGATTAATCAAAAGATCGAATTAAACTTGTGGAAAATGAAGGATGAGCGAATCAAGTATACGCTAATTGCATATTGGTAGTTATTAATTGAATACTTTAAAATAATGTCTAAATGAGCTCAATAGACCCGTCTATCGATGCGTAATCACCTCTCAACATAATCAAGAAAACAACATAAATTGAAATCTTGACTGAACAATATTCATTCCTTCACGAAGTAAATAGAACTCTAGCTGTCAATGGCGAAGCGACTGCAATCGGGAAATTATAATGCTTGGATTTATGGCCTACAGAGATTAAGACTGAATATTTAATCCTCTAGAAAACTAATATCTCGATTTATACTGTCTAATGGATAGAAAATTATATTTTTATCGTCAACACGCCTGAGAGGATTAGATTTGTTTAATGAATCAACAAAACCGCAAGGACCGAAACCCTTTATTAAATCAAGAGAAGGCAGTACAATAACATTTTATGTAAACTAACTGCAGGATGATTGCCTGTAAATAGAATTTATTTAAACATAGTCTAGAAGTTATTTCCTTACCTATCATAGGCAATAGCTGCCAAAGTGTGGACAGATAGAATACCGCAAACTAAATTCAAATAGCCAACTAATTGGCACATAAAACTGCCTAAAATCCAACGGGTTGAATGAAACAAAGTGACGATAGAAAAAGGTAACGTTAAGCCCAGCGTTAAATCGATCGCCGCTAGAGTAATTAGAAATAAACTAGGTGGCAAATTGGTTGAATGTAAAGGCTTATAAAATGTCAGTAAAACCATAATGTTGCCCAACAAGATGACGACCATAATAGCAACGAGAGAAACAACTAATACAATTGTTGTACTAGGACTAAAAGCCATATTTATTTTACACAACTTGATATAGTGTCGATTACCGTGAAGACATTGAATTCAAATCTTAATCGATGTATACAGCAAAGAATATCTTACAAAACTGCTGTTGACTTAATTTAACTATAAAGTAGACTAGCCTATAAAGATACCACAACTAAGATGATCAATAATAGCCTTAAAATGCTGTCTTTCAATAGTGACAGACGATTATAGAATTAGAAAAATTCAATTCTATCCAATTCAAACGATTGTATATTCCTATAACTTGCTTTTGTTTATCATTTAAATCAATATGGATCACGAATATCATTTCTATTCTACAAGATAAACATGTTGAAAAGCAATAAAACGTCGAGCTAACCATAGAATACCCAATTATGGCGGAAAACAACGATTATATCTAATGGAGTAGGAAATCAAGTCATAGGTTGGTTAACAAAAGTAAACGTTTCTCCCTGTCTTGTTGAATAGAAGTAAGAGAAAAGATTGCAAATGCTTTATTTAAACTTTGAAAGGATAAAATGGAAGATGACTAATTTTATTCTATTGAAATAGTGTCTCTTATATTATTCAATTCGTTTTTTGTCTTCTTTAGTTATTAATGGATTTAATTACGTTAAATGAAAGTTTTATTTCTTCGGATAAATATCGAGCTGGTACTCGTAGTATCAATGTCATCAATTTGAAATCCAGTCAAAGTGAATAAAAGCTATTTCCTTGAAAATTTAACATGCTTTGATTCACAACATGCTCCAATAGGAAGCAAGTAAATAATATCATACTGAAATGCGTTGAAAAGCGTTCCTATCGCGGCTTTAGCATCGAATGCAATATCAACTTCAATAATACTTTACTCTTATCCAGTCTCTAATCTCCACTATAATACAAATGCTATTATGCTGATCATTCCACGCTTGAATAATCCTAAAATAGCATAGCTATACCTGTACACACCAAGATTTAAAAGCAGTAAGCAGATTTAGGTATCATATTCAAGATAGTAGAAATACTAAGGTAGCATATATTAAAAAGAATTATCGTTATGGCTCTAGCATCGAATGTAATATCCATTTCTATATGTTATTACTTTATTTCTGCCTGATTTTCAATTACAACTGTAAGAAAATAAATGGCTGTGTTGATTATTTTATATTTAAATAAAATAGCGTAGCCTTGCTCGTATAAATGAACATTTAAAATTGTAAGTCAACTAAAATATCATACTCAAGATAGCAGAAATCTATAAGATAGCATACATTAAAAGAAATTATCGCTGTGGCTAGTATTGAATGGAATGTCGGTTTCGCCTTGTTATTATTTTATTCCTGTCTGATCTCAAATCGCTAGTGTAATAAAATAAATGACCATATTAATCATTCTACGCTTGAATAAAATAGTATGGCTTTATCCGCATGTATTAAGAATTTAAAAGCAGTAAACAGACAAAATATCATATTTCAAGATAGTAGAAGTACCAAAGCTAGCATACATTAAAATATTTATCGTTATGGCTCTAGCATCGAATAGATCAATTTCAATACAGTATAAATTTATTACTACTGATGTTAAATCGCTACTATAATCAAAATTATGGCCATACATATATATATATATATCTTTCTACGCTTAAATAATTGAGCATGGCTTTACTCGTTTCCACTAAAATTTGAAAGCAGTAAGTAAGATAAATTATCATATTCAAAATATTAGAAATACATAGGGTAGCACGCATTAAAAGGAATTATCGTTATGAATCTAGCATCAAATGAAACATCCATTTCAACAACAATCGCTACTGTAGTAAAAATATGGCCACTTAGATCAATCGAATTTTTTAAAAGTCCCTGCTCAATCTACCTTTGAATAAAATAGCGTGGCTTTACTTGCATATACATTATGATTCAAAAGCAGTAAACAGCTAAAGTAACATATTCAAGATCGCAGAAATACCAAAGCTAGCATACACTAAAAAGTTATCGTTATGGCTCTAGCATCAAACGGAATACCAATTTTAATCATGTATAATTTAGTGCTGGCTGATCTTAAATCACTACTATAATCAAACATATGACCATATACATTATGTCCATATCAATCTTTTTACGCTCGAATAAAATAGCATGGCTTTACTCATATACACTAAGATTCGAAAGTAGTAAGCGGACTAAAGCATCCAGATAGCAAAAATGCCAAAAGTAGAATACCTTAGAAAGAATTATCGTTATGCACCTAGCATCGAAAGGAATATTCATTTCAATATTACTTTATTCCTACCTGATCTTAAATTTCTACTAAATAAATATATGACCATATCGATCATTCGATGTTCAAATAAATAATTCTTGCGTCAATAATACTATTGCTTAACTCTGCTCTATCCATATTTTGTATCTATCTGTAATTTTATAAAGGTATCATGCAATATCCTATACCAATTAGCGAGCTGATTTATTTGTAATTGCTCTTTACTCTCACTTCTTATGTATCCCATGACTAGATTCGATCCAATCTTACATGTAAGTCATAATTATGTAAATGACATCGATGTAAACACGATCACTCATTGTAAGAGTTATATCTATCTCTATTTATTATTTAAAGGCATTCAACCGCTTATAAGATTCCATCAAATCTTCCATCTAAACATTTACTTTAATATAAAAATAGCACAAATATGAACTGTGCATTTATAAATAAAATGAAGCCTAAATACCTGCCTTTCTGATATAGTGAATGTTACAGTATCTTTAATTCAATCTACCACACCTACCCTAACATATACGAATTCATGTCGCATGATGCAAGCTAGATAGCGAAATTGGAATTATTGAAAATGAAGTATTGACATCATCAACGAAAATACACGCGTTATCAAATAAATCACTATCCTATGGAATGATAACTGAATCGATATACAAAAATTTCATGTATAATTCTATGACGCAGGTATTTAATTAAAACAAGTGTAGCGTAATTATAAAATAGTAAACAACTCTTTATCACCAAATATACCTATTGTTGAATGATACACCAACAAAGTAGAAGATATTAGTGATAAACTTTAGAAACTACGGCAAGAATCGCCTGTTGCCTTATGCTATTTAATCTCCAATACCAACATTATTCCAATCTACGAATTCAGAAATCAAATAATTGCTAATTTTAATCTTACAAGACTATTAAATTGACAAAATCAGCTTCTTGTTCATTATTCAATGCAAAATTCAACATTCCGAACAATCACTAAACTTCATTTGCACATTCTAACAGTTTTGACATAATCACAAAATCTCTTAACTACCTATTTCATTTAGTAAGGTCATTGTTAAATTAGTAGCACTAAATTCCGAAGAAAATTTGCTAAATGGATCAGTGCTGCGATTTCATCGCGTGTAAATTATTACACCCACAAGACATTAAAGCATGAAAACAAGAAAATATCTTCTCACTTTATTTAAACTGATGTTACGGAATAGTTGCCGACGACATCAGATTATCTTTTTTGCTAGGATTAAATTTGTTCGATGCAAAGCTATTGAACAACTAATGAGCTGACAATTGCAGTGACCTTACTTATATTTTAATTGCTCTTTTCCCTCTCAATTGGTACAAAGACAGAGTATAAGAGAGTCATTAGCTTGCCGAAAAACATAGATAGCAAAGGCATGTAAAGCAAGCCGTAAATTTTATAATTGGGTCCAGCAAAAGGATCGGAAACAGCATTACAGACCATGGAACACAGATTGATTTCAAGGTACTATATTGAGAAAGCCAAAATATTTTAATTAATTTATAGTATATCTATTATGCACACTAGTACGGCACCAACTAATTGCGATTTTATTCCTATTTTAATGCAGTGTCACCCATAAAAAAATTGCATGCCCATTTTTTAAAAGTCAATAAATGAATACTCTACTACCTGGTCTATTTTCAATAGATTTACTTATACGCTTACCACTCCCAAGAATTGCAAAAATATCATATTATACGGTAAGAATATACCAGCGGCCATTGCTACATAGTTCCAATCATTCCACTTCTCTACGCTATATACACCTGATAATCAAAAGTCGATAAAACTATATTAATTTGACGTTCTATAAGAGTACATACTGAATGTAAATCTTTTTCAAAGTAGAAATGGCAAGAGTTCACTACAGATACTAGTATAGCAATCCAATAGCATCATGAACTTACGTCATTGTAACTGTACAGAAGCGTCTAAACGAAGCGTTATATAATATAGCAAGAATAGTCAAGATACTGCTGTATAACTGATATCTTTCACGATAAACAGTTGATACACCTGTTAAGCAATGCCAGATAATAACAATTTGCCATTATGATTCGCAAGTAAGGAATATTAATCCCCTTTAGTCAGCATTAGAAGTCTACTGTAGATACTGATACGACAATCTGATTGCATAATAAAGGAGCACTATTGGAAATTTTATAGTGTGAGTAATGTTAAAAGGAAGCATTTCAGAGGCATCATTTAGCACTTATGTAAAATTAAGACTCAAAGGACCATGATCAAGGAATGATTTACTCGAAATACGGAGAACCTCTTCTATTCTAACTCTATAAAGATAAGAATGGAAAGCAAATTTGCTTAATTTCGCTTTATTTACCTCCTAGTGAAATCAAATAGGCCGGAACAATGAATAAGATTAAGATATGCTGTATCCAATACGTTATCACTTCCATATGAAGCTAAAAGTGTTTCAGAAATATAATCAGAAAACAGAATGATTAGATTCATTTTCAGTTGATTTTAGAACTTTAAAACTTGAATTTCATCGCGATCTGATTTAAGGAGATTACAGCGTACAATTCTTATACGAAAATGACAAGATCAAAACTAGCCATGGGCGAAAGCAAGTCCTAATTAATTTATTAATAGGCCAAAATGGCACTCTATTTTAGTATAATTGGTCAGCTATTTTTACAGTTAACAATCACTGGGATATACTTACAAAGCGAGTGTTTACTACTGGAAAAGCAACCGCTAGAAAAGCTCCATAAAGCATATGGATATGAAGCCTAGCCAAGTAGATTGAAGTTCAATTTTATGATCAGATAGGTTCGTATTCTACGCTAAGCTAATCCACCTATCTTTTCTTGACTGTTTTATTGACAGTTACTAATTAATAAATAATTGAGCTAGAATTTCAATTCCAATGTACCTGAACCAAAATGTAACCCTTCGGCTTGGCTTGGCTATCATAAAAATGATCTATGGAGTCATAAAATAAATATCAGACACTTTCATTAACTTGATATCATCCCAACAACGAATCACAAGTGATATTTTCTGATTTGAAATATTGACGATATACTTAATGAATAATAATCGTACGGTATTAAATGTGTATTATTCACTGATGGTTTATGCACTCGTATAGCATTCTAGATTTTCAGACTGATGTTTACAACATAATCATTTATAGCTATGGAATTTGTCCTTATATTCGTCTGCATAAATAAATAATGAATCTGATTACTGCACTTCTTCCGATCCATGGAGGATAACAACAATTCTTCAAGCTATAATCGTATGTCATTTCATGCTAATCAGATAGATAACCTAGAGTTTATTGCTATCATCTGCCTATGGAGGATTTTGCAGCATAGGATTGTATTCTACTACAGTAATGGATACAATTATGCATTTCAGTTTGCATGACTGAAAATACAGTTATTTGATCATGATCATCTGCTTAATTCGTAGTCAGTAAACACTGTAGTCTATTTACCAACATAATATCTGCAGTATTCACCTTATTATAATCAATAACTTAGTGGATTGTACCTTATAATGAATCTACCTCAAATATCAGGTAAGGATAAAAATGGAGCTGCAAAAGGTATTTCATCCCCTAAACTAACACTAACATGTTGACATAATGATGACTAGAAAGGTTTATCTCTCTGGCTGGTCATTGACTGCTAATCTATGCAATTACAAATGGCCAAGGGTGCAAGCAGTGTAGGTGAAGGTGATTGCACTTAACAAATTCATCCATCCTTAGCATGCAAGATTAGAAAATGCTCAGCAACTATTCATGCTACACTCGTATAGTCCTTGTAGTGATTGAAAAAAATTATTTCATGGCTATTTGCAGTTCTTAGCTAATTATAATACTCCGTAACTTCTACATGATCGCAATAGCTAGCTAGGTACACAAAATTCTATTAGCTCAGTATCTGCATGATCTAGACGAGAGTAGAGTATAACAGGTAAGAATATTCCAAATCATCATGACCTTATTTCATCCATCATCTACCCATGACTTTCATGTAATTGCATCGCTAATCGCCACAGTATTTCTAACTTTACTATCGGATGGATAAGCTAAAAATTCGATGGAAAATAACGATTGAAAATCACTCGATGAAATGCTTTTGCAGCTCAAGTAAGTTTCAACTCAGCAGCCTAGCTAACCTACCACACAATCAACGCAATGATAGTGCAGATAAATTGCAAAACAATCTTGATGCACTATTTAATCACTGTTTAGAGCTATCCATGCTATGATATCGATAGCGATTATTTCAGCCGATATCCATAAAAATGGAAAGCAAACTATCGCAAAATCGGTCAAGGTAGCAACGATGGCGACGTTGCCCTCAGTACAAAGTACGACTTGATCCAATGTATCCATTTTGATGCGGAAGATGGACAAGATTATCATCATCAATCTTACCTGCATAGTCGTAAAAACATGGCATGGATTCACGATGAAAATAACTTGTCGAGTAGCAAATTTAAAGCCTAATTCCATGCCAAAGACTACACAGAGAGTAACTAATAGCAACCTCTTGCCAAATGGATCGGAAGTTCCAAAACGAGATTTAGGTAGTGGTGTACGGTAGAGATCGAAACGTCGATATCCATACTGCCATAGCCACGAGCAAACAACAACAAAAGCTATCGTCTCGATAATTCGACGTTGCATACTCATTAAATTAACACAATCAGGCCCTCCATTGCCTTCTATGGTAAAATCAACACCAGAGACGAAAGCTTCACGAAACCACTCTGCGATGGCCTCCATGATAGCCATGGACGAAGAGGATGGGCGATGGTCGTCCGAGGGGCAGTCCGTACTACCGTCAGGTCACGTGCTGGAAATATCAGCGGGCGTGCCAGTGTCTGTAAGTCTGTAACCTCCAGGCTGTACCGGTCCGAACCGGAACTGGAATTGGACCGGTGTGAAAGTTCCGCCGATACACTGATAATTAATTATCCATCCCTTAGCTATGTATGATACAGTACCCTCTAGAATCTATAGATAGTCACGGACTACCACTGATGACGTCATCCCACTACTATTTCCGATGCAGATCTGACTACATTGTACAAGACCATACCTCGGATCGCATACAAAACCCTTAAAAAATTTTGCACTATTGCTCTAGATTGCCATGGTTGATGAGGAAGCATGGACGGTGCAGACGTACAGACCGTAGCTGCTATACAGCCAATAAATAAATAAATTTTGCAAGCTCTGTTTTCCATATTCATTCCACGCTCTCAATCGATTACAAATCTGTCATCATCTCATTTCTCTCTTCTCTACTATTGTCAAGGACTAGTAGAATTTTTAAAATTCGTGCAAACGAAAATACTGTCAATAAAAGAAACAGTAATATATCACCTATACTGCAGGAAGAACCTGACACAGGTGACATTAGTTTTGTTTAGTACAACAAGACAACCATACCATACTATAGGATAATAAAATGCTTCCGTAAAAAGAGTGTCACCCATGCTATCTTAGCCATCAAGGTAAAGGTGACAACCATTATTATTCCAGAGTCTGTGCAGACATAGACTACTAATTATCATTAACAAATTATAATTAAAAAAATATTAATTATGAATTAGTAGTCTATGGTGCAGAGAAGACTGTCGTTGGAGTGGTTGGACCAAATAAAAAAATAATAAATAGAGTAAATTTGGGGCTTGCAAGCTCAATCCATTGCGAGCTCTGATTTGTATCTATCTTTCTGCACAGCAGACATTCAGGTCTCGACTGTACACTGTGCAGGACAACACATTATTGAGGTAAGAAGCTTTAGCTACTCTGCAGTGATTCGTGACTGCGCTATACTGTGCAGTGCACAGTATGAATATATAGAATAAAAAATGTCTATACTTGAATTAAAAGTCATAATATCGCATAAGTGACATTCGTTTTGTTTCGCTAGAATATGTTGCCTGAGCCAATGTTGTTGGAGTGACATCAATTTTGCTCCATGGCTAAAGAAGATTGGCCAAGAGGTAAAAGAGAAGCAAATAAAACACCTCGGTAAGTTTCTCCATCATAGAAAAGGTTTTGCTGAATCTATACAAGCTGTTCTATAATAAATCACCCCCATGACTTTCTCAATCATGGAAGACGAGGTACTGTCAAATCGGTCCATGTTGTTCTCCTTGTGCACTGTAGATGTACAGTGTACACTATCCGGTTGCCTTGGTACAAGCGTAACTTAGCTGACATTCGTTTTGTTGTTAACTATCATAAGGAACTGGATAGGAGGATATATGGTCGATCATGACCGATACAAACATAACATTCCGTGTATCCCAATCCCTTGTTGTAATTACCACAAAATCACGGCATATATCCGTTCTAAGCGGGAAGTATACTCCATAATAAGTTACAGCGAGTGGAAATGCCTACAAGCAAAATTAATGACACCCCTGGTGCGTTACCAGCACCCTGCTGCCCATACATCATCTTTGCAACCGCCCAGATGGGACAATAGAGCAGGTGTCCGTCCAGACAACCGCCCGTCTACTAAAGAAGGCTCTTATCCTGTAAGGGAAGCAATGGCGTCTCCTAGCAGCCAATTTCCTCTTCAAGACTTATTGCCAAAGCAAGAAACTGCAGCGGATCGATTTCTACGCCAATATCCTGACTATGATGGTCGAGGTACGATCATTGCTATCTTTGATACCGGTGTTGATCCTGGAGCGGATGGTTTACAGGTAAACAGATAAACATTTGCAAAGCATTTCTTGTCAATCGTTGTCCTCACGTGCTGGAGAGACGCTTGCAAGCTTGATCGAGGTTGCAGCACATGTTCCCTTTGCTGTAGTCAGTTTATCATTCTAGTGCATGTACTGTGGTATTGATTTGCTCTACTAGAAAGGAAATGAGTTGTTAGGATTAGCGCATAGGTCGTATGGTAGAGCGATCAATCGTTGATTTGTAGTCCTATTTCAGCCCTATAGTAGGTTTCATGATGCCTAGAGTACAGGATGAGCTTTAGGGCATTTCTTCATTTCTTACTCTTTTCTTGCTTCATGCTACTCGATGTAAAACTTATTCATCATAATAACTGCTCAATCTCTTGGTTAATCGTCTATGGATTCCATTTTTCCCTCATACTGTAGATGACTAGTGATGGCCGACGTAAAATTATCGATTGTATTGATTGCACTGGAAGCGGTGATGTCGATACTTCAACAGTTTCTTCAATCGACGATGATGGCTGCGTAACTGGATTAACAGGACGAAAATTACAGGTAATCCGACTGACTACCATTCCATGGGGTCAATCAATTCATACAGATTACACTATGTTGTAACAACAATCCGTAGTTGTAATCATTTTCCTTCTCTGATGACTGTACTAAAATAAAACGACTACTTCTGCTACCCTTATTTGTTTCTGCTCTACTGTGGACCTATGACAACTTAAAATTGATCCACCATCACTATGATTTATGGATACCGTGGAAATATGCTGTAGATTCCAGCCGAATGGGAAAATCCAACCGGTAAATTTCACCTTGGTATCAAGCATGCAACAGAATTATTCCCATCTCCACTTTGCGATCGACTCAAGGTAAAATGAATTTATAGGATACTTTCTATTCCAGTTCTATCCCGGCCCACTTGACAATGTTAGGAAAGGCATGAATGGACAGATTCACAAAATTTCAATTAGCCATTGACATTGATCTTCCTAATACTATTAAATGTTATGTCATAGTCATTCTTATGCTAGAAGAATGGATTATTGAGCATTATGCATTTGTTACAAATTAATGGAAGTCTATATTAAAAATGGTAAAACGGTTTGAATACCGGCAGATTGGCATCCAACTGTGACTGTATATAAATTTCTATTTTAGCGGTATTAGATTAACATAGCAATAGCATATCTCATTAATGAATTGAATCGATCGTCAGCGCCCTACTTTCGTCGAGCCTACTACTCTTTCTATAATATATGGAGTAGAAATACCTTGGAGTTTCTAATTTATAATACTGTATACGCCTATAATTATTAAACAGAAAGAATATCGCAAGAAAAAATGGGCACCTAGCCATTCCAAATGTACTGCTGATGCAATAAGAGAGCTCCAACAGTCTGAAAGTAAAGGGCAAAAGCAGGTCGATACGAAAATTTAAGCATAAATTGACTATTCTAGGTTCAGCTCCGTCCTTTTATTTTTTAAGTCTGATATCATCTTCTTATAATTTTTAGACGTTTCTAGATGAGCTTATGCGTGAAGAATTACAACAGCGAACTGAACAATTAAAAAATTTAGATAAAATTGGCGATGAATCTCTACCAATTTTTGATTGCGTTGTCTTCCATAATGGTTCGGTTTGGAGGTAGTTAGAATTAGGAATCAATATGGTATAGTAATGGATATATAATCTACTATGCAGTATAGACTGGCTGTTGATCAAGGATATGTTATAGCTATTTTACCATATAAATGCAGTTATCATGTACTATCGGTAATGAGATATACTTTAAATTTATGGATGATTTTATATAAATATGTTAGAGACCTTACTATAGATTAATGACTTTTTTCAACCTTTTTATCATGTTAGTAGTTGTAACGTAGTATCAGCAATAGGATATTCTAAATTCATTTATTATAACCTAGGAATAATACTTAAGAGATCCTATTGCAGATCTGCTATATATCACTGACTTTCCATTTTGTGAAATATACTTTGAATACATACTGTATATTACATCGGCAATAAATACTTTAGAGACCCTGCTAATCATTAATGATTTTCAGCCATTTTACCATGCAAACACAACTAGAACACAGTATCAATCCATAGGATACTCTGGATTTATGTATTGCAAATAAATAATTTAAACACCCTTGCTATTGATTTTATGATGTAGATACCGCTATAACATACTTGCAATGAGATTTATTCGTACTAAAATTTTTACACCATTTTCTAGAGCTGTCATCGACACAACAGAAACTGGCAATCTATCCAAATGTACAGTTTTGCCCGAATTTCGACTACAACCCGTATATGGAACATTTGGCGAAGATGGTAAAAAATTTATTACATTATAGGACTATAACAAGATATTATTCTGCACATTACTTACCGCAATATCAAGCATAAAACATATAATGTAGTGATACATGCTATGGCTCCAAATAGAACGGTATTACGTTATCTTTAATATCGTTAGTTTATTAGTACTTTAAGCAAACCATACGCATATTAGAAATCTGTGAAATAGTATTTTTAAAGCTTTCTTTCTAGTTCGTTGCTCACAGCAAATAAAAATACTCATCCTTTGTTCTCTTTGCTTACAGATTTATTAAATTATACCATATCAGTATATGATGATGGAAACCGATTATCGATAGTAACCAATGCAGGTTAGCATATCTACATACTTAACTCACATAAAAATGTCTTACATTACTAGACAGAAACATGACGTTTGTAAACAGAAACTATTTATCTTGCAAACATGTACAAGTTGATGTCATATTTATACCTTGTTAAGATTATAAATGATACTCCAGTGTATGGATTTACAAGACTATCAAAGGCCTTAATTTCTAAATTAATCATGTACATGCTTACATTAAAGTTTTGCATTTATGGCATAATACTTCTAGGATCACATGGCACTCATGTAGCTTGTATAACTTCGGGCTATTTCGAAAGCACACCAGAAAAGAATGGAATTGCTCCTGGTGCTCAAGTAATACATTCGTCAGTCTATTCTGTTCCTAGTATCGTTATAAATTATCCTGCTAAATTCTCGAATAAATAGGAGTATATCTTTTACCAACGTTAAGTACAATGAAATGTTAATGAAAATCTTAGTATAGCAACTCCTATTCTGTCACCAGATCCTATCCGTTAAAATTGGAGACACCAGATTAGATTCCATGGAAACGGGACCTGGTATTGTTCGCGGGGTATGTACCTTTTACCTCATTAAATTGCCTTAAATATGCTCATCATTTATGCAAATCATGAATAGGCCTCGTTGCAATCTTACATCCAAATATTATATTAAATAGCTTATTGCAAGTAAGAACTATGGCTGTGACCTAATTAATATGAGCTATGGAGAAGCATGCCAAAAGCCAAATGAGGGGTATAATAGATTTTCTTACTCGTTACTGAATTAAGGATAGCCATAAATCGATTAATTTTATATTCTGATTGCCGGCACCTTAAGTACTCTATACAAGATTAGCTGTTAGAAATATTTCAGTGTTACAATATTTCTATCCGCTAAATAACTGTGGAACAGTCTAAACTCCCCTAATAACACGTAACTCATCCATAAGTATTCCCATGCGAAGTGTAAGAACTTCTTACTATTGCTTCGATTGAAGTCAAGCTTTTTTCTTATAACTGCTAAAGCAGTATCTTCATGCTGGAGACTTTGTAAAGCATGCAGTTATGCGTAGATTCTCTAAAAGGTTGATAATGCTCTGTTATCCATCACTATGTCACGATATCATGGTAAAGGAATGTGCATGGTTCATTTACAATTTTTAAAACTATCATCAATAATGTATATCAGAAGATACTGTATACTAATGCTATTGAAATAAGCAAATACTCTAAAGGCATCTCATAAATGTTGTAGTACTCTACATTCATCAAAGCATAAACTCAAGAACTGTTATCTGTTGGCATATAGACGCATTATGGAGCTATGTAATGAATTTGTCGATGAACATGACATTATCATGGTTTCAAGCGCTGGTAATAATGGGCCAGCAATGTCAACTGTCGGATCTCCTGGCGGTACTTGTTCTAGTGTTATCAGTAAGTAATGGAATCTAAGTGTAACTCTAGTCTCAACTTTACTGTTAGCCACGTTCCTTGTTGGTATAACCGAATATCTTGAATGAATCATCAATTTTATGATTTGTAGGCGTTGGAGCTCACGTTACTCCTAAAATGATGGCGGCCCAATATTCATTGCTTGAAAGAGTACAAAGTATGCAGTATACGTGGACATCCAGAGGACCATGGTATAAATATTTTTTATAAATCCTCACCTGCTACCTCAGTGCTATTTTGATTTGGTTATATTCAGATTTGACTGAAATGACTTTATTATATATTTTATACGTACTGCTGTATGGAACCTGTAAACGCTGATACAATTTTAGTAGCATACTACTGGCTGCAGTTATTTTATGACATTAAAATTTTTACAATATTTTGTCGTAGCATTGATGGTGCCTTAGGTGTTAGCATTAGTGCTCCAGGTGGAGCAATTGCTTCTGTACCTAAGTGGACCTTAAGTAGTTCACAACTCATGAATGGCACTTCAATGTCATCACCGAATGCATGTGGTGGTATCGGTAAGTCTCATTTGTTGTCATAATTTGCAAATCAATACAGTAATGACAAACAAATCATACATATTATCTTTCCAATACCTTAGCTCTTATATTATCTGGATTGAAAGCTTGTCAAATTCCGTTTTCTCCGTCAAGGTATAAATTTTCTCTAGCATCATTTTATCCTATAATTAACGACTGTGCTACTAAAAGGTATAACTTTTAGTAAGAAAGAATGAAATTAATGACGTTATGTTGAATTTAATCACTTTTTGTAGCGTTCGTCGTGCCGTTGAAAATACCGCATCATCAATCACAGGTCCTCTACCGTTAACTATTACTTAAATCAAATCTGTCCTTAGGAAGGTATACTAGCTTCTTACAATACTATACTTATACGTATGATCTTTATTTGCGTCAACAGGTGAAGATCATTTTTCCATGGGCTATGGCCTACTGCAGGTTAGCTTCTCCGTTACTGATACATTTTAATTGTTCCAAATGCCTTCCTATCTCATGTACAATAACTTACCTTGGTAAGATGACATTGTTAAAAGTATGACTAAATTTTAAAACACAGGTTGATAAAGCTTTCGAGTATATACGAAATTCTGTAGATAAACTCAACAATAACGTCCATTTTGAGGTATGAAACTTTATGGAACTTGAAAACGATTCATACTGTTAAACATCCTTCTTTTAAAATTCTTAGATCACCTGTGGCAGCAGCTATGATAAACGAGGTATATACCTTAGGGAGCCTCAGGAAACGTCTTCAATTTCTTATCTACCTGTTCGAGTTCGACCGTGCTATAAAAGTGAACTTGGTAAGCGTAGCAATGATTTTCATTTTTTTGCTTCAACTTTATTATATGTGTACAACGACTGATATAGGATCTGTCCGATTCTCTACTTTTATGTTAGATTTGAAACTTAAAGCCAATTTAGAGTATCGCATTTCTCTGGTACCCACTGCAACATGGATTGATGCACCAAAATATTTCATGTTGAATAATAGCGGTATAAAATCTAAATCTGTTATTTAATCCTTCGTAATTGTCAATGATTGGTTATCAATGAATATTTATGTTTACTACTATCTATAGCGCGGTCATTCGATATTAAAGTTGATACTAGCGATCTTCGGCCAGGAGCGCATTATTCTGAGGTTATTGTGCGAATGATAAGTACTTCTAATTCATACAAAATTATATTACATAAATGTAAGAATTGATAGTAATAACTAGATTATAACTCCTAATGATCACTTATAGATCTGCGGATATGATAGCGCTTGTATCGAACTTGGCCCATTATTTAGAATTCCTATCACGGTTACTAAACCAATAAGGTATCTACGCTTATATAATCATAATTGGATGATGAAGTTTAGCAGCATTGAAAAATTGGCGTGATTTCAATTATTTTAGCAACACATTATTTCATCTAAATTTCAGTATTCGAGATCCGTTAACACCCATATCAGAAAGCCTGACTCTAGATAAAGGCCAGATTAAACGTATGTTTATTGCAACTCCACCGAAAGCGACTTGGGTTGGTAAGTACCTACAAAAATCTTTAAATTCATTTCTATAATATTTTACACATCTATGAGTAAGTATGCTTGTTTTTGACATTAATCTACTAGAAATAGCACTAACGTCTCTCGAAGAGAGTGGTAAATTTACCATGGTATTAGATGTGTCGCACTTACACAAGGACAAGTCATTTAAATATCAATTTAGTAATAATCGTGTCGCATTAGGCTGTGGAGAAACTAAAAATATTACTTTTAAAGTTGAGGTCAGAAAGGTTTATCTGCGGTAGTATTAAGTGCTCTGCAACATGTAAGTAATCATTAATCTAACTTGAATTCAAGGGGGAAAAAACTTTAGAGTTATGTTTGACCAGTTGGTGGTCAACACGAGAGAGCAAAAAAATAAAGTATGCTATAACATTTCACAGCCTTTTACCGAACGAAAGAAACGTAGCAATGGTATGAGATTTGATTAGAATGATTAACTTTAGCCAATTTTGCAAAGTTATCCTACTTTCTATCTGTATGTCTAACAAAAAACTTTCAAAACTTATCTAGCACTCCTGCGGTGGAATACATAGAATAACTGTGACGTCTCCATTTCGACGTGAGAATATGAGTATTAGCATCAATCTGGACCATATGGCTGAAGCTATTAGGTTAATTGAACAAAGCGATATTTACTTAGATCATTTCTAGCATGACTTGCGCATTTCAGCATTTTTTTAACTTTTTTGCCATGACCGTCGTTAACAGGCCTATTTCTTCAACAATAAAACCCCTAACTGAAAGAGATTTACTACCGAACGGGAGACAAATCTATGAAAATATATTGGATTATAAATTTTCCATAGTTAGTAAATATACGTGTGATAAATACCGAATTATAAAATCATGATCATGAAAAGGCTAGTTAAAGATCTTTGTTATTGACCACCTACATGAATGTTGATTAATGAAACCATTTAATTTTAATCTGGTAAAGGAAAATTCATGTGAAGTGCGTCCTAATGTCTCATTACTGAGCGATCTACTATATGAGGCATTATATGAATCTCAACTTTGGATGATATTCGATAAGAACAAGCAACACATTGCTTCTGGTGATGCCTTTCCTCATCAGGTCTGCAAAAATGCCATTTTGTTTATTAACTAAAATTTTTGCTAATTAATATTGATGATACATTTTTATTTTTAGTATAAAGTAAAGTTAGACAAAGGGGACTATATATTAAAATTACAAGTAAGTCTATTTTTTCACGGCAAACAGCACGCTATGTATACGCTTATGTATTCATAGTACTAGAATATGATCAACATTTTGTAATGGTAACCAATTTTTAATAGGTTCGTCATGACAAACGAGACCTCTTGGAACGTTTAAAGAATATACCAGTACTTTTAGAGCATAAACTTGCTAATTCCGTTTCGTTAGATGTCTATTCATCTCAGCTGAAAGCATTATCTGGAGGGTCAAAAATATCAAATAACTATTGGCTCAACAAGAACAATACTGCAGTACTTTACTTCGCACCTCTCGATGATGATAAGTATGCCAAATTATCATTATTATTATACTCGTATGTATATACACAAAATGCCACTGATATTCTATAATATTCCCAACTACAAACTTTATTAAGCAAATAACTATACATTTATCATGTACTGCTTCCTTAAATCACAACTCAATTTTACTATAAAGACAAACTTTCTAACTATTAGATTAATCCTTTTCATACTTTTTATAGACTACCGAAGGGTGCAAAGCCTGGAATGTATTTAACTGGAACAATATCTTATTCCAGTAGTGGAAAATCGGTAAAGTATATAATATTCTGTCATTAAGATCCTGTTCTTGAGCAAGTATAGACCAAGTACTTTTGTTCTTTATGAATTATCATCAGCTTAATTATCCATTTACCTATAACATTGGAACAACTCCTTTATCTTCATCTGGCTCTAACAGCGTTAGTATTGCAGAATTTGTGTTTATATGCATAAATCTTGCTATGTATCTAACAGGAATCCATACACCATAATTATTATAGGCAAACAATGATTTTGAAGCGGCACATAAGAAATTTATGTTATCCTGGTTAACCAGGTTTTTAAACTATTTATATTTTTATTCATTATTAAAGCTGATTCATATGATAACTTTTAATGATTGAAATCTTTCTAATATTTAAAGCAAATCTGTTAAATATCAATTATAGAATGGATTTTGAACATGGAGATAAACTGTACAAGGACCTAGAACAAAAGTACGAGGATGATCTTTCGCTTAAAGTTGAGAGAATGAAAATGTTAGATGTAGCAGCAAATAAAGTAAGGGTGTTGTATATCCAGCTTTTAATCACTATTGTTAATAACACTAGAAGACAATACAGTTCTGTGACTTACTCTCTCCTAATACTATCATTATGTAGCATGGATCCGTTGAAGCTTTTGAAAATGTTATAAAAGCAGCTCAGTGCATTATCGATTTGGTAATGTTATATATGGAAGCATATCTTTATATTAATCTAACTTAATTTGGACACCATGATATACCAAATTCATTTTAATTCTTTAGATCGATACAAATGCCTTACTGAATTTTTATGGTATGATATCAGATTTATCCGAAAATGCAGCTAAAAAGAAAAGGTAATGTATATTTATTTGTCCTACAATAGCAAGAGCTTCTTTTATTTCAGAAATACTTACAGCTTATTTAGACATGCATTGCGATATTTGTAATTGTAGTGAAATGGACGAAAAGAAGAAATACCTCACCGAATCACTAATATGCAAAGTATAAATCCTCTTGACTATATCATCTAGATAGTTTATTTTTAATTACTTAGCGTTTCGTTGCATCACATTTAATTGCTCGCTGCCATGTAGGGAAAGAATATGGGATTATTAGCTAAGCAACTAGAATGTAAGATAGAATGTATCATACGATAATATATGCAATTGGTTCTTGTGTATTAATAACATTTCAACGATAGGTCTAGAAGAAGAATCAGCTCGATATCAAGCGACTGGTTAGAGAATTTTTCATTACACTTGCTTTTTTCGATAATGAACGTGTCTGTATTTATGGTTGTATCTACCCATTGGATAAAAAATAGACTCTTTATAGCCGCTGCCTTGGGAAATATACGTGTATAAATCTCACAACCTATTGATATCTCATTATCAAGTGTAGTGATTTAGATAAATTAATAGTGTATGGTCAGGATTATAAAAAATTGGCATGAAATTGACCGTAATATTTATCCTTTATCTTTTAGTATCGGCTATGAACGATGTCTACTGCGAATTATCTAAATGGATAGACCTTAAAAACCATAGGGTATGTTAGAAATTTCTTATATGATTGATACTAAATTCATTAGATTGTCATCAATGTAATGTGTTGCATCGATTAAAAATTATATCCTAGGCCCTTGCTTTTATTTTGGTCCATGCAATAACATTAAAACAATATGCAAGAGCCATAGGTATTCTTCAAATCCAAATGAAAGAATCTTCTTCAACAAAGCGCTTGTACGAAGAAATGATAGCGGTAAGGGAACTCGTTATCATTTCTGCAATGTGGATAGTATAACTGCATATTACTCCAGATAATCCCACTGTTGACTTTAGATTGATAGATAATGAGTGCAAGTAACCAGTTACATGATACGATCTATTCGAAAATTAATAACCTTAGATTGATAGTACTGCATCAAGTAGAAATAGTTTGTTGAATACATGATACATTATCAGAAATAATAATTATGAGTTTGGATTAACGGCACAAAGGTATACATACTATAACTGAATATAGCACGACTGTGAGTAAAAATTATATGTATAACTACACTACAAGGTATGCACTGCTATTAAAAATTTGTTGCTTTCTGATACCAATAGATGTTGGAGAAACTGAACTGGCATCACATTGCAAATTGTTACAAGCGTCTGATATTGAAGAAATATCCTAAAAATTACACGTTGTTCTAAATGTTTGGTGTCTTTACTTACTGTAGTTTAGGAGTTACCCTGTCAAGAAATTAATAAATTAAAAACGATAATTTGAAATGTCATGTAACCCTGATTAAAATATTGCAAACATTTTTTTGTGACTTCATATTTTTCGGTATCATTTTAATGGCTGTCAGCCAACGTTAAAAGCTTGGAAATAGCATTAATTAAGATTGGTCACCTGTAGCAGTTTTTCTACTATTTATCGCAATTTTAACTAATATTTCACTCTAACCTAGCTTGTTACTATAGCAACAGTAGACCATTGTTTAGCGTTCACTCCCAACCGGATAATTAATTGTAATTGATTACCGTTATTATTATTGTTTTGATCTGATTGAAAAGGACTGATCATTTTCTAAATACGCATGTCTCTTTATTATTGAATCAATTTAAATTTTTTCCAACAAATTAAATCCTGGTAGGCTTTGATGAAAACAAATACTGGTAGGAAGGAAATACAGTACAGTAGTAAAGTACATACCTCACAAATGGTAGCCTATGCAGGACCTTGGAATTTGTATATTGCTGTAATCAGTAATGCATGGCTAGATAAAGAATATGGAAATTTTTTATGGAATAGCTTTATAGAGTATATGATGGTGACTGCCATAGTTCAGAGGTTAAATTAAACAATATTTCTATTCTACGAAAAAAACAAGATATAGTACTTAGTAGTTTTGTCAATCCACAACTACAATGACTTTATGGCCATGTATTTGTCAATTCAATTTCTGTGGCAAACGAAAAGCCTACAAATAGTAAATAGATTGTAATATTTGCATGAAGGAGAGATATAGGAAATTAAGATTTTCGTGCTTCAGCATACAAGATAAATGTTCATCATTGGTAATATGAACGATGAAACCAGTAGTCTTACGTTATATCAAGCCGACCATTACAAATTATTGCGAAATAAAATTCTTGACAACGATCTCTTTATTTCGTATAATGATGTACAAGAAATGTGTGCCTAAACGCGTTATATTTAATCCAGTTTCTAAATATAGTCTATGTACAATGCCATCTCTGTATCAGATAATTCAGATTCATCTAGCTCTTTAATTCTACGTAAAATGACTGCATCGATAGCTATAGTGATAGTTATTGCTATAAATCCCTGAACTGCTAAAATTGGGTTCTTATAGAAAAATATCTCGCATGCTTCCAACATCTAATTCATCTACCATACTGATGCAATTTAAAAGGCAGATCAATTGTCAACACGATATTAGTTAGCTATATTTCCAATAGATCCACACCTTCAGAGTTCGCAATATTACTATTGTAGACTCTGGTAGCAGGCTATCTGTATAAGTCATAGCACCAGTATAACCGCTATATCTACCTAACTGTATATTTTTCTATACACTCAAGCCTGTCCTAACGTAGAGCCACTATATCTAACTAATTGTCAATCTTCTACACATTCAAGCCTTTTTAGCTGACTTTATTACTATCCTAAGCACTTTTAGCCATCAGCACCATAGCTAAGGTAGGTGTATCCATTTCCTTGGTAAATAGAATCGTTAATGAAGTATTATTAACTACGTTAACTGATGCTCGTCTGTATATCATGTCCGTCCCAAGGAGAGTCGATATATCAGACGCTTAATTAAACCCGCCGGATCATAACGGTATCATCCGATGCAATAGGAATCAAGGCCAAGTAGTTGGAAATTATCAAGTAAATAAATTGTGGCTGAAATGAGCCATTACGAGTGTAATGGTAGCTTAAGAATGAGATTGATGACTGAAATTGATTTGGATGGTATTAAATTGAGAGAATAACACGCGAAATCGATTTTGATGAACAATCTCAGCACCGGATATTAATTGATCATCCTATTCCTAACGTTGGATAGGGTAATCTCGACTTTAGGCAAGGTTGTTAGACGAGAAGGAAAAGACTACTCTAATTATTTAATATATCCAGAGCATTAATTCATCATGTTTCCTGCAAGTCGACTAGTCGGTAGCCAACAAGTAAGACCAGGTAAGAGAACGATTGATTACTTGAAAATTTTATATCGTAAAATTGCACCTGATTCAAAAAAGTAGTAGAGAGCGTAAAAAATAACCTTGTACAGTATCATCCTATCGAATTAGCTAAAGTTTCAAATATTTCTTTTGATTCTTATTAAAGTTCTCAATTAGTGATCGTTGGCTTATTTTGCGATATCCTATTGATTGCATAGTGTAAGCAATCATCATTTACCTATAAAATTACAAATCGTCTAGCCTATGATCAATCGTTCATGTTATTGAAACATGCAAGGATTGGAATTAATGAGCAAAAATAACCAAACTCCAATCAAATAACCACATATTCTTTATGATGACATATTAAACATTCAAGCTTTGTCAATATCGACTGCTTAGTCTAAATTAGTTTATTTTGGCCTGATTAATTATCAGTAGACTAAGAAAATGTGATCGAATTAGATCATTTTTAAAGACTAACAGCCGATCATACTGAAATATCAAGGGATTGTCGCTAAAAAAACATCAATCCAAGTAGATATCCAGATCTCCTAGATTATAACCAAGTATACTTTAAAATTTACTTATACTGTTTCCGAAAAGTCGAACATTCGTTCAATGTTTCTTTTCATTTTATAGCGGTTATGATATTCTACTTAGGACGAAAAGAGGACTTAGACTTTCAATATTGAAGCCCTCTTTTATGTCCAGGTTAGAATTTGTTCATGCTGCTCTTGAAAAATCTAAATCGGCTCACGATTTCCAACTATTCCAACGTAATTTATAACATTAACGGCATACCCGAAGCGAAATAATTTTGTCCGTGCAATACGGATGTCTCTTTACTATCCAGTTTATAATTTGTTTACGCTGCTCTTGAAAAGTCAAAATCAATTCAAAATTGGCTTCCATTCTAAAGTAGCCATAAAATTAACGGTATACCCGAGGTGAAAAGGTTTAGACTGCATAGCACTAATGTCTCCTTCAACAGCACAGTAAATAACGACCATCAACTTAATTTTTCTACTTTAAACATGGAAAGATACCATTTCTAAAAATAGCCGTTAATCTAGCCATAGAACTAATTAAATAAATTGTCTAGCTAATAGAAGATAGTTGTTGAAAACTCTATAAATATATCGTTCATCGTTCCTCTTCTCACTTATTTATTGTAATATCGGCAAAAGGATTAAAATTGTGCATTAGTGATTTACTTTGATAGCTTGTCAACCTGTTCAAGCTAGTTTATGATATTTAGTTAAGACTTCTAGAATAAACTCAATACTCCTGAATAAATTAATAATTTATGACATCAAAGACGGCAACCATCAACTCCCTAAATTTTTCATTAAGGGTTCATCTTCTCACTTTATAGTTGTAATAACATTAACGGTATCCCATAAGGAAAATATTTTAACGTTAGAACCTGTAGTCTGGCTAAGTGACGTAGCAAACCTTTAATCCTGTATCCTATAAATCATTTTTATCCGTAATAGCTATGCTATTAATCCACTCATTAAACCAGAGACGAACTACTAGTAATTTATCGCTCTCTGGTTAATTTAAGGAAGGACAGTAACAGAAGGATATGTAATCAATCTAAAATAATTATGATTTACTCCAGATTTTCATTATCATAAATGGTATATGCATAGTACAGAAGGCATCCGATTGCAGAATATCATCTTAAATTTTATATGCAAGCAACTACTCTTACTCATGCTACTCATTCTTCATTTAGCGGTAGGTTTAAAACATTATGGCTTACTTACCTAACTATTCTAAATATCCATGCTTTAACTCGATTACTTCACTAACACTAGATCGTATCGATATTGAGCAAACTATCCATAGGGTTAGACATATATGCGTAATTAATACTATCAATATAAGTTGATGTGAAGGACCACTGGATAACTTTCAGCAGCTTAACATCAAAACTTACATACCTAAACATTCTAAATATCCATACTTTAACGTGATTACTTCACTAACAACAGATCAAATCAATATTGAGCAAATCATACTTAGAGCTGTACATATAAGTGCAATTTATACTATCAATCTAAGTTGGCATGAAGGACTGCTTTGCAACTTTCAGAGTATACGAGTAAATTGAAATGGGTGTGAATTAAACTCAAAATTCTAATACCTTATATCTTAACTATTTACTGCTGTAGGCTCTCAATTTCCTTTCAAGAAGAGATGGGAAAGAGTGGACTGGATGAGAATCGGTATGTCTACTATTTCTGTTCCATCTTATGTCCTGTATATATCCGTCAACAATCTTGTAAGATCGATGTGAAGATGGGCTGCATGAAGATCGGAGGACCAACAGGATTTTTTTGCAGTAGTTTCCTTTTTTCTTGTCATTCTCAAGAGCAATTCGCCATTATCATTACATAAGAATACAGTACATAGAAATGCTTAACTATTGCTAGATCTAACTCCTTATTCCTATAAAGTATTGATTTCTCTCCTTTTGTTACCTTTCTCAAGAAGAGTTCATTATATCTCCAACAGGATGTGCATATAGAGTAAATTAGTAACTTGAATAAATAGATCCAGCACCTTATTATTAACAGGGAGAAGACTAACAATTCTTCTCATGTTCAGCTACCAATTTCCAGAATAGTTCATTCGATACTTTCCTTGCATTTCTGGAGGTTGGATAATAATTCGTCATCATGGCAAGAGCATATTGCAAAATCTCCCATTAGTTAGAACTAACTTCTCGTTTATGCATTATATGGGAAGATACTTTACTATTATAATTCTTGGAAGAAGACAAGCAACTCTAATTCCTATCGTTGCCATTATTAAGAGTAATTCATTATCATCACCCGCATAAGAGTTTATAACTACCTTAAAAAGCTAGATATCTAACTCCCCTCGTTGGAGAAGTAGATCTGAATACTCTCGCCTTTCCTTACCGTCCTTGATAATGATCCAACACCATTACCAGAGTATAGAGTTA